CGATTTACATATAAAATTTTTTTACCGATGTTAGTCGCAAAGACTCAACTGCGGCGGAAATCATAAAATTGATCGATGTATAACGTGTTAAACATGTAACACTTGTAGTATATGTGACACTTGGGTCACTTGTATAACATGTATCGAACAAATTACTTTTATTATATGCATTATTTAGTCTACTTTTTTATTATTTTTTAAATTAAATAAAGAATTTAACATATTTTTATATTAAATTTAAATTAAATAAATGTTTTATTTTGTTTGGATTAAATTTTTTGAATTTTTTTTAGTAATAATGAGCTTTTGTATTTACTTATTTTACTTATTTAATATTTATTTCTTACTTTAGTTAAAAAAAGATTTTATATTTTTGTTTTTAATATTAATTACAAAATAATTATAGATTATATCTATATAAGAAATATTTAATATATGTTTTAATTATTTAATTGTTTATTTTTTGTATATCATTATATAATTGGTATGTAACAATTTTTTATTTCAAAAAAAACAAATAATAATAAAATTAATATTTTTCATTTATTTTTATTTTTCCGATTAATTAGCATTTACTGAATAGCTAATTTATTTGAGTTAAATAAAATTGAATTGGGAGAGTATAGAGGTCGATATTGACAACACTGGCAACATAATTAAATAATTTACATCATAATTATTCAATTGCTGCTTATATTTAAAGTATATAAATACATTGAATACAACAGTTTTAATAATAAAATTATATTTCTAATTCACGTGATAAAATTTTTACATATAAATCTTTTTTTGGTTAAAATTTAAGAGGTGACCCGGTGAAATTAATTGCGATTAATCGATTCTAGAAAACTATTTATTAAATTAAAATATATTTTTAAAAGTAAAATCATAAAAGAATTTATATTAGTAACATTTTACACTCTGTCTAAGTTATTTACAAAGCATTTACAACCTTTCCGGTGTTCTTTATCAGAACTTCCTTTTTACTTTTTTTTCACTCCATAACTTACATATTTCTCAAAAAGGAGCCTATTTATTGGCATTTTTTATTAAATTAAAATAAATATTTTTAATTATTTTTAAGATACATATATTTTCTCTTTCACAACTTTTAAAAATATTTTTTTTTTTTAGGCTGTAGAATTAATCCTTTTTAAGCAAATTAATATTTTTTTTTTTACCCATAATTCTCACTTGTGAAATTAGAATTAATTAATTGTTGATAATTTTTTGATTAGTTTTTTCACTATTTTGTTAGTTATAAGTGAGGGTTACTTTTGTTTTTGTTATATATTTTATATAAAATTACATTTTTAATCAAAATATCTACTCATCTCCCAATATCATATATACTCATATGCTGTCTTTTGTTTTTTATTATAATTTTTGTTTTCTTCTGAATCAATAAATCAAATAAATTCATCAACTGCCTCTAAATTATTATCAAAATTTATATTCCTACTTTACTAAAATCATCATTACAAGACATATTTCGTTCTCTTCTACTTTATTTTACCTTAGGATTTATTTTCATTTTCATCAACTTTTTATTCATTTTTTGCTTTAGTAAAATATTGTGTAAGTAACTTATTATTCTTTGCAAGCTTTTGTAAATAGAAAAAAATAAAATCAGAATCAGAAATTTCTATTCAAAGCTTTTATCAGCTGATTAACATTCCGAACACAATTTTGTAGCCTTTTTTTTTTCCCCGTTATTATTATATCTATTTTAAAGGCATGGAAGGCGATAAAAAAAATTTAGCACAACGATTAGATTCGATTATCAAGTGGCTAAATTAATTTTTAAAATTTTATAATCTCAGTTTTTATGATCTATATTGTAAAACTGACATTTCATTAAATATTTATTTATATAAAAAAATTAATAGATAATCATAAAGTTTCGAGATAACGTTTTTTATTTTTATTGGATGAAATTATGAGTAAAAAGCTTTATATTACATGCTATTTTAATTTAATATCGTCTAAATTTTAAAAATAATTGATGGATTGATTTTCAGGCGGTCCCAAATTTGGCCAGGGAGTGTATCTAGTATAATATCATATTAAACCACTTAGATTCAGGATTACCTAACTTTCTAATCTATTAACGTTAATAAACTAGATATGATAATTAATATATTCTAGTTATTGAAAATAATATTAAAAAATAATATAAAATTTACATCAATTACGAGTAATATTATATAAAAAACCAATGACGGGTTAGCATCAAGGTTAGGGTTAAGGTTAAGGTTATAGTTGAAGTTAGATTATTTATAAAAAAAATTCAATAAATTGTATTATTTATTTTAAATATCCTTTTGTTATAGATATGCTAAAAAAAAAATAGTTTCAACATCTATTTCACGTCGCGTTAACGAACCAGAGGGTAGAACCGTTTTATTGGAAAATCATTTTTTCAATAATGTGGTTTAATATTTATAATAATTTATTTATTTAAATATTTGACTGAATATTTGTCAAAAAATTTTACATTCTTTCATATATTTTGTAACTAAACAACTAATTCAACTTTCACTCCATATAGTTAGACACTTTTTAATAATCGCAATGCGCCATATACTGAGCATTATAGATCCGATTTTTTATACGATTATCGATTAAAATCGATTTCGATTTGATTTTCGATTTTATTAGAATCAACTTTCAAAAAGAAAACTTATGTTAAAGACCCGAAGAGAATGCTCTAAATTAAATAAAAAGAATAAATAACCAAATTAAAAAATGACGAAAAAAAAGAAATAAATAATAAAAGAACTAAATAAACGAAAAAGTAAAAGTAGTAAAATCTGAACTTATCAATCGAAAAAAAAAGTCGAAATAAATAAATTAATTAAAAAAATAAACTAAAAAAAAAAAAAACCAAAAAATCGAAATTAAAATCCAAAATAATAAATCTCAAAAAAAAAAAAAAGAAAAAAAAGCGGTGATTTTAAATTTTAAATGTAGTCTAAAAAAATTAAGACCTTAAAAATAAATAAATTAAAATTTTTTTTTTAAAATAATTTTATTAAACTAAATAAAAACTTAACAAAGTTAATTCCAAAATTAAAATAAAATAAATAATAAATAAACAACTGCTAAATCTTCAAACACAAACTAAATTTCTAATTACTAAAATTTTCGGAATAGATTTTTTATTATTTTCTAAAAAAAAATTTTGGCAGAGGCCGCGACTCCCAAAGGTTAAATCTACGTCACCACAATTATAGTTTTCGTTAAGCTTATATAGGGATGATTTCAAAATTATGGCTATATAATTTGAATGATCGTCCAATTTTGCATCACATATAGTTGCCTGCCTGGCAAAACTCATTTTAGCAAATGGCAAAAGTCGAAACCCTATATTTCGACGGATTTGTTAATAAGTATTTTTATTATGGTTTCGAGTTTCGACGGGTTTGACAATAAGGTTTTATTACAGTTTTGCCAATGACCCCGTCTAAATACGAGAGTTTTGCCAGGCAACTATAGCATCACATGATTAAATTTTTTTACCAAACGCGCTTTAACATTACTTAAAAAAAAAAATTTTAATTCCTCTGAAAATGCCTTATCATAAAAGTTCGAAATATTCAGCCAAAAAAAGGTTGAAAGAATAAAGCGTATCAAGAAAAAAAGAAATCTGAGCTCTCTGATTTTATTGAAATACACGGTTATAACAGCAAGAAGAAGAATTAAAAAGGTTAATCATGGCCGATAGATTCATAACTTACATGAATATATTCAAACCAAAGACAATGAAATACTAAACTTGCCGAAACGCGAAGAAGAATACGATACTCATAAAAATGCAGTTGTGATGGAGTGGGTAAAATACAATGATTTATTAGAGGGCAGGGTATTTGCTTCGGTTGGTTGGTCTAGTTGGCGGTTTTTATTTCTTTAATCATCGGGATTATTTTTAGTGGTCTTTTCTTTTGGCTGTTTTTCTAGGACTTATATTCTTTTCTTCTAAATTTCACTAAAATATTGCCTTTTATGTAAATTTTTTTTTAAACCCGCTGAATATGTAGTAGGAACTTCAAAGATTTTTTTTCTATAACTGTAAGGGTCCTTTTATGGTAAATGAAAAGGTAGAAAAAAGTTGGGATAAGGGTGGAAGTAAACCCATTTTATTTCACAAAAGATTTTTAGAGACCAAGATGGTTAAAGACCGCTGGGGTTATGATAAAGAAAAAAACTATTATGTTAAAAAAAAAATAAAAAAAGCAAAGTAATTTTGTAATTTATTTAAGTGACTTTTTACGATCGTTTTAAATTATCGTTTATTCATTTTCCTCTTTCGAAGGAATTTCCAATTCTTAATATCTTGTGAAACTTCTATTATCCTTTCTAATTTTATATTCAAACAAGATAAGGACTCGGAAAATTGTAATCAAAGGAAAGGTTTTGTCAATTTATTAAGTAAAGTGCTTTCTCATTAATTAATATAAATATAATTTCAGGTTTGTTTTTGTACCTTTATGAACTTTAGATGACTTTCTGGAGTAGAAATACAATACACAAAAAAATTAATAAAAAATAAAGTTTGACGCTAAATTAAAAACTTGTGCCAGACATATAATATAACCACCCTGTGGGAAGGTAGGTAGGTATCCGAGCTTTTAAAAAATTTTTAATTTATTTGTTATTTGAATTCATAGTTTAAATATGATAGATTGAAGGAGGTGGCAGTCTAATTAATCAGTTCAGATAGTCGAGAATGTTAATAAAGCTAGAGTCTAATTATAAAAATAATTGATCGTATTCTTTGTTAAACAGGAGTATTGTGGCGAATAACTTCCTAATAGGTAGGTGTGAACAAATTTATATACTGTATTTATTTAATATTATTATTTGAAATTGTTGAGACTGATATCTGAAGAGATTTATCTATTCTTGTAGACGTCAATGTTTATTACTGGATTTACCGACATTTTGAGAAATTAAATAATCGTGTTATACATAATCACGATGATGTGATTTCGTGAATCATGCAGTTAGAGCTTCTCTTCTGTTAAAAAAAAAGCAATAGATCAATCTAAATAGTTTGAAAAGGACGTACCTAGAAAATCACTTGGGGAAGACCTACGCTCTACTAGACGGCGTACGAGCCACTTCTCAAAATAATGCAATCCCAGCATCTCCTAAAGATGAATCAACTGATTGTCTTCAAGGTAATTTTTTCCTACTTTTATGAAACGTTATTATTATAAATCTAACTAATTAAGGTTTGTTAACTTCTTAGTGATTCTATTATGCAGGGTATGAATGGGTGCACGCACCCTCAAATTCTAAGTAGTTTTATTTATATTATACAGAACTTGATTTTATTCTTTTTTGGACGACCTTATGTATGAAAATATTAGTATTTCATTTTATAATTCTTCAATTAAAATGATGAATTTGTTCATTAGACATATTTAATACAGTATTATATGATTTCTAAATTTTCATTTCTGGAATTTTTATTTGCATTTGCACATCTCTTTTATTTATATAAAGTTATTCAAATTTATTTTTTAAGAAACTTTCAATGTGTCTACTAGCAAAATCCGTTTTACTCTCAACACCTAACTCCACCAGTTTTAAATATTGTTGAGTTCAAAATAAGTAATGACTCCATCTTTTATCATATGAATCTGTGTTAATTCATTAATTTTTTCAATATTAGGATCTTCATCCAGCAATTTTGATAAAGTTGTTGATATTTTAAAGGTGTGCTAACTGGATTTCTCTAATTCACGAATTAATAAGTTGATAGATCAACTTGTATCTATAATCAATGTTCGAAAACGGGAGACATCCACTTGTGATTTCTCATAATAGGACGTCTAAATATATGTATCTGATTTCTTGTTTCTTACATAATTGCCTTGTATATATTATTATGGATCAAAAATTCTGACATTTCTTCAACTCTTGAACTTGTTGTAACTTCAGTAATATTCTTTGACAATCTAAGGTCCGCGACCACATTTTTTATGCATTTATTTTTATATGATTAACAATTTAATCATTACGAGTATGATAATAAATTATAAACAGTAATTACTACCAATCTCCATGAATTATACCAAAATACATCAATTCAAAAGTTACATCCAATACATTCGAGTCTTGATTTTTCACTTTAATTTCCTAAATAATCTCGTAAGATTCCTCATTGGAATAATTAACACTTTTAGATTCGAAAAGATAAATCATTCGGAAATTTTACTTTGTATCATCCGTTATTCCAATAAAGTGATTGATATTTCGATGATAATGGACAATACGATAAATTTGATGTTTTTATTGTCAAATGCAATCCGGTTCAAATTGTACATGACAGAACAATCCATTTATTGTAAGTGAATCGATTCTATCAAATATCAAATTAATCAAAATAGAATTAGAATCGATTAATTGAAAGACGAATAAAAAAAATTGAATCCATTTTTTTGATTTTTTGTAGTAAGTACAGCTATAATAAAACTTTAAAAATATAATTACTATGAGAAAAAAATAATAATGGAATGACAAGAAAAAATTCCAGAAAACAAAAATATGCTGTCTAACCCTAATTTGAAGGATTATAAATACAATTAAAAACAAAAAAAAAGCACCTAATCACTGCACGAGTGATTAAATCTAATAAAAAAAATATTGACGGAATGACCAATAAAAAAGCCTGAATTTATCCATTTTTGCAAGGAGGAATCTTAAGAAAAAATGAATGAAAAACAAAGGAGGCAATATAAAAATATTTGATTGCTGCGAACCCGAAGGCAAAAAAAAAAATAATAAACGGTCAAAGAATTATTAAAAAAAGATTTTTATAAAATTTAAAAAAAAAATCGAAAAAAATACTAAACTTGCGGTTGTATTATTACGACACTAAATTACGATGTTGTAATGAATATTGCAACTAATACACAAGGATAAGCAAAATATTTTACATTACAAAATTTTGCGTTAAATCATGATTGAACGCTATATTGAGCATACCTTGTAATACATGCTCATAAATAGAACTATAATCGTACGTGACTACGCGCCATCATTTTTTGTGTTGCTTTCTAACTAATTACACTACGTTATGTCAAAGTCAAATAATCAAAACGAGTAGTAGTTCTAATAATGAACAAGAAAATAATAGAATAAAAACTAGACAAATATTTGGTCCGATTTGGGATCATTTTATTCAAGTATTTTAGGAGTATATAGTATTAACTAGATTAGGTTGGTGTGCGGCGACTTTGTCGCCGCTAGTTATGGTTATATCCTTATTAAGTTATCACCGTGACGAGCTGAAGGGTCCATCCGAAGTGCCGCGCCCGCATTCGTCCGAAAGGGCGGAATCGGCCCTAACTTATGAAATCGAAAAAATTATTAATTAACAATAAAAAAGACAATTATAACATACCTGACTGCGCCTTTGCAATAAGCCAAAGTGGTAAATCTACTGATCTAACCTATAAAATCAAAAATCGAAAAAAAATAAACAAAATTATTAATCAATACTTATTAATTAATTAACCTATTATTAATTTAATTAAATCAATAATCAACAATAGGAATAGACAATAGATAATAATAGAAAAAAAAAAACAATAAAAAAAAACAATTTCATTATGCGCCTGACTGTGCCGTCGCGACAGATCCAAATATATATATGATATTATATATATATATTTGTTTGAAATAATATTTAAAACCTTTATTCCTTGAGGTAGATTCCTTCTACCTTTACCTTTACCATATCCTCTATCTCTTATCCTCTATCTCTTAGTGTTAGAGTTAGTCAGTGTTAGTGTTAGTATTAATGTTAGTATTAGGTAAAATAAGGTATATAAAAATGGCCGGTCATTGGAGGCTTCTCTCTAATTAAATTTAAATCAAAAGATAATCAATCGTTTTATTTTAAACTGAAATGTTAAGAGATTTTTTTATAGCCAAGATCTCAAAACTTTCGATTCGTGTTTATTTAGTTTGAAATGCATCACGTTGAGTAAGGTTCATGAACTAATGATATAAAACTTATTACACACAATTTTTATTCGATTTAACTGAAAAAAGCAAAGCTCATAGTTTACTACAAGAACTCCTTTAGTAGGTTTATTTTGATTTCATCTCAAACACAATTTCATTACAAAACCATAAACTTGAGGAAAAGAGGGGAGGAAAAAAAATTTATTATTAGAGTATAATTTTAGTAAGGGAGAAGAGAAGACCGTATGCAATTCGGTTAAGGAAGGGATCCTTTCCAGCAAATAACATACGCCAAAAATTTTTTATTGCTATATTCAAACGACAACCGGCAAGTCTTTGAATCTTTATCAAATATTAGTATTTAATTATCAAATATACTGTACCTTTGAATAAATATATTCGAAAATACGAAATGGCTTTATTTAAATTATCTAAACATCAACAAATTTAGCTATACTTAATTCTTTAATAACAATTGAAAAAGTGTCTGAAGTATCTATTAATATTCATCATGGTATTGTGTCTGTTATGCAATTTTACTTTAAATGTGTTAAAAGTCCAATCTTTTTTTGTTTTATTTGTATGATCTCTATTTTGAGAGCATATAAAGTAATTTTGTAAATCTTCGAACATAACGAACTAATCATAGAATATCCTAAATCTTAGACTCTCAGAAAAAACATATTCTTCATATCCGACACCACCGATTTTAACGTTGCTCGTCGTCATTTTTGGAATACTAGAAAATACTGCATAGTTTATTTATTAATGGGAGCAAAAAAGAAGTTGGACAGGTTTTACAGTTCCGGAGGAGAAATCGAACTTGTATGAACCTTCCTTATTACTAATAAAAAGCTTGCCCATATAAAGCCATGTTGATAAAGGAACGCGATAAAGAGAATTTACCTGAATCCAACTGGTAGATACAGTTCATGCCATATAGTTGTACGTTTCAGGTGATTCCACTTTATATAGTGTTAGCTATGGCCGTTCCCAAAAGGAAGGAATAGGTATAAATTTGGTTGGCTTCATGCAGAAACTATGGGAAAATCATATATGATTTGTTTTCAATTAATTATTGCAAACGAGAACTATGTACCTTTGCTGTTGGAAATTGTAATTCTAATAGATATGTTTGAAGTATTTTTTTTTTTGAAAAATTATTTAAAGATGATAATTTATTGTAATAAATATAATCAGTCTAAATCTCAATTAATTTTAGATGCTGAATCATGTCAGTAAAAGTTAGAAACTTTTTACTTTACTGCAATAGACCTTTGATGTAGATATATTCAAATATACAGTAATAGTAAGTACAAATAATGTATTTTTTATAAGTATTTGTTTTATTTTTAATATTTTTTTAATTGATTCGAGAAATTTTAATATAGTTTAATAGATATTGTCAAAATAATAATAAGTCAATGAAAAAAAACTTTAGTTAGAAATTCTTTTAATATTACCTATCAGTTTAATCAATTTAGCAACCATTTTGTAATTCACCAACTTAGAAACTTATTTCCGTGGTTCGATTTTTTCTCAATCAAAATAATTATTCAAGTTTAATATTTTGAATACTTTTATAACTTTTATTTTGTTGTGAAATCCAAATAAAATTTTAAAAATTTTTATTGCCTACATGAGGCGACATCTTTAATCTTTGCGTCATAAAGATTGAAAATTTTATCTGTTATTAAGAAATGTGGATTAACGTTATATAGGAAATAATCTGATATAAATTTATTATTTATATTTAGAATATAATTATACAGTGAATCATTTCGTTAATTTTTATTATCATATTTCATATTTATTTTATATAATATCAAAATATTGGATTACAGTATTGTAATTAGAGTCATTATTGATAATATCTGAAGGATGGGTTGTCTATTTAATAATAATTCTCCCTTTTATAGACTGGTCTATCGTTTAACGGTGATAGAGCTAACAAATTAAATAACTTAATATCTCAAGTATCTCGAATATTTTTCCTAAGAGAAATAAACGATTTAACAAACAAAACAATTTATTATCACGACTCACTTTTATAGTTAGTTATCACGATCAACGGAGTTACATATTGTAAAGCTCAATTGATTAGTTATAAGCAACTTTCGCGTGGTCTTTACTATCATGTGTGCTGTATTTGGAAATAAGTTTATATGACAACCGTATCAGAAACGAGTAAATTCTTTTGATTAAATGTAAAATATTTATGTCTTGAAATTCTTAGATATAATTTTTGGTAAACAAATTGAAACAAATTTCAAAAGATAAAATTTCATTTCAACACAATAGATAATTCTTCATCAATATCAATATTTC